GCGAAGGGGTGCATAAGGGTGCGGGGGGGCCGCAGTATCTCGAATATGGGGCCGGGGGGGCTGTAGGGGAGTGCAGGGGGAGACAGGTGGGGGGCCGTGCTTGCTCAGGGATGGGGCAGTGGGGGTGTAGGGGGGGTTGCATAGGGCATGCTTTCCCGGGTATGGGGGGTACATGGTGGGGGGGAGGGGGTCTGTGCTTCTTTGGATATGTGGGGCACAGAGGTGGGTGTGGGGGCCACACTGTGGGAGGAGCAGAGGGGGTACGGGATGCGGAGGACCCCCAACCCCAGGTGCTTTGTGCTGCTGGAGGGCAGCGCTGTGACCCCGCTGCACTGGGGTCTCACGTGCCCCCCTTCCCACTCTCACCCACCCCCCCAGGCAGGAGGAGGCTCAGGCCATCGACCAGGAGCTTTTCACCGACTATAAATTCAGCGTGGACCAACTGATGGAGCTGGCGGGGCTGAGCTGTGCCACCGCCATCGCCAAGGTGGGAGCACAGAGGGGGAGGAGGGGGCTGCGGGGTGACCTCCCCCCCCCACCGCCCTGCACAACCCAACGTGTCCCCCCTCCTCCAGGCGTACCCCCCAGGCTCCTTCCCCACGAGCCCCCCTGCCGTGCTGGTGGTCTGCGGGCCGGGCAACAACGGCGGTGACGGTTTGGTGTGCGCCCGGCACCTGAAAATGTTTGTGAGTGCCCCAAAGGGGGGCTGCGTTCGGGGGTCCACATCCCCCCCAGCTCAGTGCTGAGCACCGCCGTCCCCGCAGGGATATCACCCCACCGTGCACTACCCCAAGAGACCCAACAAGCCGCTCTTTGAGGGGCTGACCACGCAGTGCCAGAAGATGGACATCCCCTTCCTCACCGAGTTCCCAGCGGAGGTGAGCAGACAGCAGACACCGCTGGGGCCGTGGCTGCGTCCTGCAGGCGAGCCTCAGTGACCCACTGCTGGGCCTCAGCCTGTACTGCTCCTCACCCGCTGCCAGGCCTCACCCCATATTGATCCTCACCCCCCATACTGCTCCTTATCACCCTGCTGCTTCTCACCCCACTGCCAGTCATCACCTTATATTGGTCCTCCCCCCACTGCTGCTCCTCACCCCACTACCAGTCCTCACCCCATATTGCTCCTTACCTCATACTGCTTCTCACCCTATATCGGTCCTCACCACCCCACTGGTTCTCACTCCACTGCTAGTCTCCATCCCACATTGCTCCTTACCCCATGCTGCTCCTCACCCCATATTGATCCTCACTCCCCCATACTGCTCCTTACCACCCTGCTGCTCCTCACCCCATACTGGTCCTCACCCCGCTGCCAGGCCTCACCCCATATTGATCCTCACCCCCCCCATACTGCTCCTTACCACCCTGCTGCTCCTCACCCCACTGCCAGTCATCACTTTATATTGGTCCTCCCCCCACTGCTGCTCCTCACCCCACTGCCAGTCCTCACCCCATATTGCTCCTCACCCCATACTGCTTCTCACCCTATATTGGTCCTCACCACCCCACTGGTTCTCACTCCACTGCTAGTCCCCATCCCACACTGCTCCTCACCCCATGCTGCTCCTCACCCTCTGCCAGTCCTCACCCCATAAGTGATC